TGTATAAAATGACATTTTTTATATTATTGATAGCTTATCTACTCTTATTCTTTTGGAGAATGTATGAACATCATGCTCTGTTGTGTAACTGCATTTGACTAGTTTTGGCTTAATTTCTTTACAAGAATGCTCAATATATTCACATGAATATTTATACATATAAAAAAAGTAAACAACTTCTTTTTTTTTTTTCTTACTTTCTTACTTTCTTACTTTCTTGCTTACTTTCAAAGAAGACAGTAATGCTTTACTACATTCAAATAAAAGACAAAACTTATCTCTAAAGTATTAAAAAGAAAAGAGAAAAAAAAAGACAAGGGAAAGGCAGAAGAGAAGATTTAACGCAAAGTAAATTAAAAACAAAAAAAAATACGCTAAGATTAAACTTTAATAACTTCTCCTTCTTTTCGTTTATTTTTTTTTTCTCCTGAATTTTACTATAAAAAAAAGTACATTTTTCGTTTTTTTTTCCTTTTTTTTTCTTCTTTTTTCTTTAGCTTTTTTTTATTTTTCCTATTCTTCTTTATTTTTACTTGAAACCATAGATAGACACTGTCAGGGTTATGAAGTGTGCTCAAGTCACATAGCTTGGCTTACTTGAGACTGTAGAACTGTCCGTTTATAACATGGCTAAAGGAGAGGCCTAGACTCTCTTTTGGTTACTACATGCATATCCACCTTCACCTTGGGTTATTGCAACCTTAGATAATTGATGGGACCTTATCGAATTTTGACTGCTCAAGTTTGATTTATTTCCAAAGGAGGAGGGAAATAAAAAGGATACTTGGGGTTGGAAATTGTAAACCTGTTCCTTTTTTAGGGTGATTAGCGTACTCTTTGTCTGCACCATTGAAAGGGCTTATCTCAAGGTTTAGTTTTTCTGTTTTTTCTTTTTGGAGGTTTTTCCTTCTTTTTATTTTTATCTAGTTGCTGTTTATAAAATAAAAATAGATAAGGATGCACAGCTTACGTTTCTGACCGTGGTTTTTTCATCTATTTATTTAGGTGAAGAATCCCAACTTGTATTTACTGTTAAGTCAAAAGTAGATGCTAGGGGTCAAAGAAGGGACATTCTCAGGTAAACAATAGTCAGGTCGTGCACTTCATGTATCTGGATTCCTTCCACTTCGCCACGCTACAGGTCAGAATGTTTAGCCCGGCTTCCAATGAAACTTACATCCAACTGTATTTTTTATTGGGGTAGGAAGTGAGGAATCCTATCTTTTTCTTCTAGCAAGGCTTGGGCCAGGTTGGACTTTGCCAAGTGTCTACTAGTTGAAACTGGACGTTTATCTTTCAAGTAGAAATTTAGAGGGAGAAGAAAAAATTACAGCCTGTATCAATTTGTTTGTGTATGGGTTGTAATATTATTTTTGGAATTAGATATGCTTTCACCTTCTCGTGGTTAATCCTGTTAGTATCAAGTCCCTTTTAAAGAGATTTGAGAACTAAGAAAAGCATCTTTTTTTATAATATTAATAAAAATGAAAAAAACAACTTAATAAAATTGTGTTTTATAATGAAGTTGCTTCTCTAATAATATTTTATTATAACAAAAGTGGTGAAAGACTATAGCAGCACAGTGTATAAATGTTAAAAAGATTATTGTATATTTTCCCTAAGATTTCTTTCCTCTCGAGGTAAGTTGTGTATGGTTAAATAAATTCAGCATCACGAGGATGTAAATTGCCAGAATAAGACTAAAACTAGCCAACATTCATAAAGAGCATTCATAATCTGATTGCTGTACAAAAAAACGTTCATCTTCAGGGTATAACTTGAAGTTGTTTCAAGCCTTGCCATCATTATTCTATCTGGAAACAAACTAACTTTGGTTTTCCAACCAATGATTTTTTTTTTCAACGCAGTTTTCTCCAAAGAAAATTTTCTTAGGGTATTGATTATTGAGTAGTTATATATGTATAAGGACTAAAGGAAGGCTTGACCGATTCATCGAAAAGAAGTTGTTGAAATATTTCAATCTTTGCAAAGGAATCTTAATTTTTTATTACAAAGACAATCCCTTTACTCCTCAGTATCGTATCTACGGATGATATAATGATACTTAATACAAGAAACGTATTCTTGAAGTCTATCATGAAAACAAAAATGATTGCCATTTGACATCACTTGTAAAACGTAACGACACGTTTTTGGAAAACGATATCGTTAGATACAGTCTTTTAGTGCGATATTAATAACGGTTATCATTGTTTTGAGGTTCTTGTCAGTTACATATTGTTCTTGGATGAGCAGTGACTTCATCATGAAGTATATAAAGGGTAATTGCTCATTTAGTAAATTTGTCTCAGTACATGGATTAATTAAAGGAAAATCTATAAATTAACTAAATTTAATGCACATGATGTGAACATACATTTAATAAGGAACTACTGCCATCTTTTATTGTGTATGATGCTCCTTGTTATTCTATGACTTCTTTTCATAATTTATATGTTGATGCACTCACTATTTATCGTTAACTTAAACCCTTCTACAATGCTTGACTTTTTTTTTTTACTTATAATATAGAGTAGATTGTCTTAATATTATCTTATTCACCTTAAATTACACTATAAAAAACTTTTTCAAAAGATTGTCTTAAAGAAAGAAAAAAAAAGTAGATCGCCAAGTTTTATTCGGCAATTAAACTATTTCCCTGGCAAACTGTGTCGTCGTTGACTATAAAAAGTCTAGTTAACTATTATTGTAACATTATCTTCTTTAGGAATTTATGCCTTTTTTTTTAGCAGAGTAAGAAAGCCAAAGAGTACAATCCACGACCTCTAATAAGATGGTGCTTATAGTCCAGTGTTACTATTGAATAGTACACGACATACTTAATAATGGTTTATCTGCTGGATATCCAAGAGACTCTATACAACTTGATAATGAATCGGTAATAATGCCTTTTTTTTCCCTCACTCTTTTGGGACAATGAATCTTAAACTATAATGGCTGATAAGCTGAATTCAAGTTTAGTAGCCCCCAAATAAAAATGTTAATTTCATTCGTAACCTTACCTTATCCTTACCTTGCTAATACTAATACTGATGATAATAAAGAAACCGTTCAAATAGTGTGAATTTTGAAATGTAAAACTACTACAAGTCAATTAGTGAATCAATAAAGAAGATTAGGAGTAAGTGACTTCAGATATTAAACTGGTTTATTATATAAAATGTATAGGCATGTGATGATGATATTGATAGACGGTTGCTCGAAAAAGGGTTGAATAATAGAAACTACATAAGGAGTACGCATATCGCTTGGAAATTGAGTTGATAATAAATTATTAAAAATGATCCATTGATCACGCCTGTAAGAACAGTAAATGGTAGTCAAGTCGTTGTAATTGACAGATACAAAAGTATTAAATGAGTAAGGCTGATTGATGTTTTCCTCACTATCTCGTGCAAAATATCGCGGGATAATTTGTTTACAAGTGAGATGACATCTTTTTCTTTTCTTTTTTTTTTTTTTTGGCAAAGTTGATCTATAACAGCTTCAACTGTTATGGCTACCATTTCACAAATAAAGACAGTGTTTTAAATGCAAAAGATAAGGAAAGAGAAAATAGAAAAGACAAGTCTGCGAAAACCCTGTATAGTTTATTACTAAAAAAAAACGATATGGAAAAACGACAAGGGCTATTTATGTTTTATTTATTTTTTTTTGCGTTATCAGTCCTTCTTTGTGTCCTCATCATTAAAAATTTGCTATTTATATTATATTGTTGTTGCTGTTATTATTAATATTCGCCTTCATATTATTATTATTATTTTCGTCTATCGCTGATGAGTCTATTGCCTCGTCTTTGAATTAATATTTTTTTTCTTTATCCCAAAACTGTGTTCTATAAAAAGTTGTGTGCTTATTTTTGCCATACAGGTTTTTTTTTATGATAACTTATTCTTTCATGTTTTTTCATGTACGTCGTTGTTTTTTAATTTGTTAAATTTAATAATATTCTCTTTGTTTGTCAATTCTTTACATAATATTTCTTCTATTTCAAGTCTTTGTGTATAGCCAAACTAATTTCCTTACTGTTACATATTATAATTTATAAGTATTCTGTAACCGCAACAAGTATGACAGTAGTTCTAAATAAATAACGTATAACTTTTTATAGCAACTGTACTACACAATACGTATTAACTTTAGAGCCCATCCTCCTTTCTTTTTCATTATTTTTTTTTTTTTTTATTTTATATGAGAAAAAAAATTATTGAAGAGGAAGTCCTTTTATAGTGTAGAGGTGGATTAGATTCTGTTCTTGTTTGCTTCTACTACAGCCGTGTTACTCCCAGGGATTCTCTCAATGCTGCGGGCTTTCCTCTCTTGCATGGTAGGAAATTACCCCGCGATTTAACAACATCTTTTTATCAACCTCCATTTGAAGGCCTGGTGTTGAACATTGGATCCTGGAAGGTAGCATGTTATCATCAAAGCTCAGAACTAACCCCGATTTTATTATTAAAACACTCCCATCTACAGCTAACAAAGTTCATCTCTCCATGATCGCCGCTTGGCCAACAGAAAGGCGCTGCCCTTTCCGATCAAGTTATTTTATTTACCACAATTTTTTTCTTTATAAACCCAAACTTTTAGCTGTAGTTGCCGAGTTGTGGTATTCAAAAAAAAACATAAACAAAAAAACATAAATTTTTCCTTCAGTTGATTTCTAACTTTACGCCAGTTGAGCTTTGAGTGCTGTGGTCATTATACGATTAAATTCTATTTTATTGCTGTGTATTTTTTTTCCATATCAATAGCTTTCTTTCTCGTTATTTTTTTGACACATTAAAGTGTTATGCTTTATAGTTTCCAAACCAAGTTTTTTTTTTTTTTTTTTTTTTTTTTTTTTTTTTTTACTCAACTGAATGTATTTAGTGAACATAACATACACACACATAACATACGTAATATCACTACTAAATATATCGCTTACTTTTATTTTTATTATTTTTAATCTGTTTATTTCATTTTTTTATTTTTATTTTTTTTTTTTTTTTATTTTCTTTGTGTTGTTATGTTATGTACAAAATGATAACAAAGCAGGGTAAATAATTTCTTAAACCTCTTCATTCGCCTTTAAAACCATGTTTTTAAGGAATCGTTGAAGGACATGTCTCATTCTTTGTGGTGTAATCTTTGGTGAATATCTCCTTATTCTATATTCTAAACACCGTGTGACGATATCTCTTGGTATAAATGAGCCTTTAGGGCTTGCCGAAGGATTTATGATGTTATTGGGATTATTTTGATTATCATCACTCTGGTTATGATTTGCACCAGGTAAAACGACTGAGGTAGCAGGCCGACTATAATAGAAAGAAGGTGACATCCATTTAGCAAATGAATTCTTTTGTGTTGACGCCGAATACCAAGAAGGTGACATAGATGTACTTGGTAGAATACTATTTGCAAAGGAGGGATGATACACTTGAACACTATTAGGATTTCTATTTATATTAGTCTTATCCAAATCATCTTCATCTAGTCCTTCATTATCTTCATTTTTGGGAGATTGACGTGGTGATGATGGTGTTGAGTTACTGTTATTATTATTTTCAGAAGCTGCAGTGATTAAATGTCTATAGCTTCCACGTAAAGCAAATTCAGGTGGAATAATATCCATTGTTACCGAACCCACCAGATGCAAATGACGAATAGCTTGTAAAACATCAGAAACTATATATTTATATACATACATATATATTTAAAAAGGATAAATATAACATGCTCCTACTTGATATGCATCATCCCTTTCAATTTACCATAAAGATATTCAAGAAATTCTCGATTTTTAAATACCCGTTTATCACCAATTCGCTTTATAATCTTGTGCCATAAATTTGTTCTATTACTCCAATAAGGCCAACCATATTGCATCAAAACGATCATATTGCCCGCCTTTTCATCCCAGCGAAGAGCCGAATCAATTGAAGCCATACCAACACGTTGCTCAGATTCATTATCAAGACTCACTATTAAATGTTTAATACACCGTACAACTAAACCCTCTTGTGTAACTCTCATCAGCCCAAATTCTCTGCCATGAAATATATTGGCAACCGTGCGACAATCTGTTTCATCTGTAACAAAATCATATTCATCTAACCCATTTGGTATAGGAAACACAGAAAGAATAATTGCAATTTCAAGTGTCGATTGCTAAAGATAGAGAGTTAAATATGATATACAAGTTAAAATCCATTTATCAAACGTTCTCTATTGTACCTGAAGGCTCCCGACGAGTAAATAAATAATACCAATACTATATAAAACACGAAAAGCAAACATAAATGGTATATCCATGTCAATAGATGATCGACTATAATCAGTTTTTTCTTGTCTACGTTGTACTTCAATACGATCACAAATAGTTTGAGACAATTCTAATGCTTTTGCAAGATTTCCAGGAACAGAGGGCTAAATAAAAAAGTCTATATGAATAAAACATGATTATTATGATTATATGAAATTTACCGATGATAAAGCTAAATCACTTCTAACAAGTAAAACTGCATTATGCATATCAAAAGGTAACTTATAACCATCAATAACACGACATAATTCTATATAAAGTAAAAAAAAGTAAAAAAAAAAAAAAAAAAAAAAAAAAAAAAAAAATTAGCATAAAAAAGAAAAGAGAAAAGAAATTACAATAATCATGTATATTTTACCTTGTTCCCAACCACCTAATTGCTCAATTAAGGGTTTATGAGATATTTTATTGGATGCCCATTGCCATAATTCAACAATATGCCTTAGACAATCTCCTGCTTTACTTAATATTTGTAAAGCATCATCCACTCCTTTTACGCAGTAAGAATCTAAGCCCTTGGAGCGATCAACTTCATCATCGTCATCATTATCGCTATTAGTGTCATTATTTATGTTATCAAGCCTTGGACGTTTACTATTACTTCCTGCTGTTGAAATGACATCATCTGAGAAATCAAGTGTAGTTCGCTCCTCATTATTATTTTTGTCTTGTCCACGTTTTTGTCCAAATCGTTGATGTGGATAACCATTTGTGGGTTGAAATGAACATACAGGAATTAAACAAAATTTTTCTAAAGTATTATTAGATGCACTATCAGTACCACACACATATTGATAATAATCATATCCAAATCGAACGAATTGCGAAGTTGCAGCCATGTATTCACACATTAAGGTAGAAATAATAGTCAGGTCTTCTGTAGTTGGTAGCATATGTGTGTCTCCATTTTCATTTATATCATCGTCAATTCGAACACTATCTCGATGCTCCCTTAAATATTCAAACTGAGTTATATGTGTGACAGAATCCAATTGCTCTAATCCTGAATATCTAGAAAATAAATAAATAAATAAAATATCTAAATGTATATGAATATATTTATTAAGAATATTTATATTTACCCGCAAGCAGATAACATTGAGCAAGTGAATTTTGTTGCGTCATTCCATTGGTGCTTTTTAATATAAAATCTTTGACCAAGCAGTAAAAATTGTTCAAAAAGGTCATAAGGTAAGGTAATAAAATGTTTGCTTTCTGTTGACTTGATAGAAGGAACTTTATCCTTTCTCACAAGAAACAATCGTTGTTTGCAAAGACGAGGAAATAATTCAGTAACTATAATGAATATGGATTAGATAATACAAATATGTAAAACCATGTAAATTGATTACCTAATAAACTGATACATTTTTGTCTTTCATCTCCTTTTAACGCTTGTGCACATAAAATAAGTAAATTAATAGCTCCAATCTATTATTTTTTTTTTAAAAAAAAAGAAAATAAATATACAGTCAGTACTGATTATGAAAGAAGGAATAAATGCTACATAATAATTGTATTACTAAGTATTTGTATGCATGGCGAGGATATGCTTGAATATAATCAAATAAAATCATAAAAGCGCGCATAGATTCTTTTCCTTCTAAACGTTCTAATGCAGATATATAATTAATATAATTTCAATATTATAATTAAAATGAAAAAGAAAGAAAAAAAAAGCTGAATTACCTGTTGCAAAATCAATAATGTTTGATTGTAATAAGCATGGTAATGAAGCAAAAATCCTACAAACAAGTTGTATTAATGTTTATATATGAAAACATTAATAAATATAAACGCGTACTGCTAGCTTCATTATCTTTTGCTGGATCAATATTTTCTGCAAGTTGAATTAAATAAGCTTGAAAAGTAGGATTTTGAATACTGTTTGAATGACTGAAGAAAGAAAAAAGTTTAGTTTAATGTAGTAACGATTATAAAAAAAGACTTTACAGCAACACAAAGCTTTGAATGGCTCTTTCAAAATTGCCTTTTTGAATAGCATTTCTCAATATAGTAAACTAGAAAGAAAAGATAATTCAATTAATGCTGCTTGAAAAAAAAACATTACATTCCTTTTTTTATTACTTCATTTTCAAAAGAGTTATTGCTTGACTCTGTCACATTTGAATGACTATTGTATTGGCAATCAGCCAACGAATTAGGTTCTTGTGACATCGTTTAAAAAGAAAGCTGTTCTATTGTAATGCTTGTGATTATTTATTTTATTTTGTTCTATTTTTTTGATTAATTATGTCAAAAAACAAAAGAAAGGGAATTGATATTATGGATAAAAAGACTATAATTTACTGGAAAAAAAAAAAAAAAAAAAAAAAAGATAATAATGAAAATAGAATGGATATTTTTTGATTACCGCCGTTTAAAATCAAGAGCAGTTTTTACAGTTTTACACTTTGAATTCAGACGACGTTAGTTTTTTTTTTAAACACTTTAACAACATTTCTTTTTTCTTCAAGATTCTATAGTATATAATGAAGCAAAAGCGTCATAATAATCCAACTGACGATTTAATGATATCAAAAGGAAAGAAGGCTTTAACGAGTAAGTATCAAAAGTATACATAACGAGAGAATATGTGTCTTACTTTTTTTAAGATGTGGATCATGATACACCTACTTTGACGCCACCTGTTTCTACTGATTCAAACTCGCTTGCTTCTACTGCCTCTATATCACTCGCTTCTACAAGTTCTTCTTCTAGTGATTTACCTCATATTTCAAAGAAGATACAAAATAAAAAAAAACAATAGAAAAAAAGCGTACCTTGATCAACTTTGGAATGGAAATAGCAAGCAATACAGTGGAAGAAGCGGATACAGTAAAACATAAAGTAAAACAGTATAAATGCGGCTCAACCACCCATCTAAGAGTAAACAGCAATGTATGCCCCTTGAAAAAGCAAAAAAAAAAAAAAAAAAAAAAAAAAAAACGCACGGTCCAGATGAGAAAAAAGAGATTTTCGTGATCAAATGCTCCTTGAAAAATATCTGTAGAGACGCTAAGCTCATTGATCAAATATCTCTCGTCACGGCACACACAATAAAAATGATGTGGGTAGGATCGTTGTTTATCAACTATCGTTTTCTTTTGAAGCTCCTAACGAAGGGTGAAGAAGTTCTGATTATGAGTCAGAATGATGTCTACTCCATCTTTACCGTCGTCACTGGTAAGGGTAAAAAGTCTCTCAGTTATATTCAACAATACTTTGTTGAGTTTTGCAATGAATGTGAAATTGATGACACAATTCTACGATCCCTCAAGAGTATTGGATGTTCTTCTATTTTACCCATTGTATACAAACAATACGATGTGCTCATACGCAACCACGTATGTGAGAACCACGAAAGGAGAACAATTCGCTTCTTTATGGAATCTTTGTCCGATAAAGGCTCTACATTTTTTTTTGCAAGGGCTTATCTGTTTACGAAAGAAAATCCCTAGCTAACTCTATCTATTCACTAAAGCTGAAGCAAAAATCCGTATGGCCGTCATCTGTCGAAAAAAATCAACATTTTGAAGAGATTGCACAAAAGATGGAGTCATTATGGTCTAGCTATCAAGCATTAAGCTGTAACTCAGAAGATCTGTACTCTCAACCACATCAATTCTTTAAATGTTTTTTTTTTACCTTCAGCAAAAAATAAGTGAAAAAGTGTACATTATGAAAGGAAAACTAGTCACCGTTGCCTCTAAGTCCTACATTTATAGGAAGTTAAAAGAACTAACGTTTACTTCAATACTCAATAGACGAAGCTTCAAATATTTGCAGGACTTGTTCCTGCAAAGCATTAATTCAAATGTTCCACTCATCCTTGGGCGGAAATTAGCCAAAGTCAAGCCTCATTTACCTGCTCTAGAAACGTTTGTCACAAGTATCAAGTCAAGAATTGCTGATGGAACATTTACGCCTGTAAAATATATGGATAAATATGGTTACCAGTTTTTCACTCTATTACCGATCTATTCATTTGAAACAAAATCGGTCCAAATAATAGATGCCACAGATTTTTGGCAACTAGTGAAGAAATCTAATATTGAAATTTACCCAAAAAGTACTAAAATAGAATCGGATCTATTAGGTTTCTACTACAAGCTTTTCAACTTTTCCAAGCTGGGATTTCGCTCTCGAAAAGAATCTTGTCAAAACATATGCATAAGACGGATATTTGGTGGCTCTAGTCAATCATCAGTAAAGGTGATACTTCATATGGTAGACCAACCATCGATGAAGGTTAGGGTGTCCATTCTTCAGACCTAATTCGTTTTCCGTGCTATTGATATACCAGATGATACCTTGCTCGCTAAAGTACTTCCTGAGCTTCAAGCCTCCACCTTCAACACTCAATGGTATAAACTCATTCAAACACCATGCTGGAGACTCTGTGCCACTAAATTCATCCCGTTAAACCAACGCTCCTTTTTAAAACATCGTCAAGAATTTCTTGAAGAGAGTTTTCAGCAACTACGTGACAGGGCATGTTCTGTTTTGCTTTCCGCTTGCGGCCCCAATCTGATTATTGATCCGATACTCTGGTTACCCATGACATACAGTGAGCGTAGTCGAACTATTCAATGGCGTCTTGGTTGGTTGCCCGGAGGAATACCTAAAGCCTGCCCATTTCATCCTCATGTACACTTTAGTTGGTCACACGCCACTGAATGCTTGCATATGCACACTCGTTTATTCTTGTCACGATTAATAGCAGATCCCCTTTCCTTTCTTTTAAATCATCTCCCTCAGCATAAATACTGAAATTCTCAGGATGTTTATACCTGGCTCTATCGTTGGCCAGTTATGTGTACCATTCTACCGGAAATAGATTACTTAATGCACAATAAACTACCCCCTTCACTACTTGATCCAGGCAGAAAATGACTCGATTGGTTGTCCCTTTAAACTTGTTAGCAACATTTCCCCTTTCTTTCTCACCTTCTCTTATTCCTTTCCTTTACCTTTTTACCTCTTGTCCCGTAAGAGGGTTTTTAGATACTTTTTTTTCACATAATTTGAACTGACCTGGGCAATCCAATATAACGATATTATGTGCTAATAGGTCATTTTATAAATTTTAATCTATAAAAATAAAAAAAAGAAATGTTTAATCGTACATAGACATTGTTTGACAAATCAGAAAAAAATAAAATTTAGATGTAGTGTCTACCTTTTTTGGATTTATGTTTAGAAGATATGTTCTCCATTAAAAAATCCCAAGTCAAGAAAGGGAAATAGTGTTTGATAATCTCCTTTTCCTGCCACGTTGATTCATGTTAATTGCTGCATTTACGTTTTTTTTTTTTTCTTACAATACACATACAAGCCAGAATACTCATACCAATAAAATTGTGATTATCAACTTTCTTCATCGTATCAAAATTGACAGATATTGTGTGTTTTTGAAGTCTTGTATTCGTTAATTGTCATAGCAATTAACTTATCTTCTGCCTCATGATTAGTTAACACTCTGTTTAATATACAGTATAATCCCTTTTAGCTTAGTATTGCTCTTATCAAACATATATGCTTCATAATCAACTAGCGGTATTTAGTTTTTATCATGGTTGAACTTGGCGTGGTCTAAATATATTGACAAACTAAACAACGTAAACCTATTTGTGTCTATAATCATAATATCACTTACTTTGCCAATTGATCACAAGCTGATTGATATTATCTTTGCTTCTTCTGTTTCTTCTTTTATAGCTTAATCAGCAAAATCTAGTCTGTATAATTTACATTTTATAATATGTCTTTGGTATAGTAATCCTACTTCTTCTTACAGTCTACATACTCTTCTTATATAGACCTAATATTTCATCAAAATCTTTTTTTTTTCTTTTACAGTCATATAAGCTTTTTTCTACTAATATACTATTGGTCTTTCGCTATACAAATAAACTAGCTATGCATGTAATAATAACATACGAAACCACTTTTATATACAGATATATTTGTATTTGGTTTAAACTTTCTGAGGAACATTTTAAGGATAATTTAAAAAAGATACCAAAGAGAAAGTAAAAGTAAAAAAAGCAATAACTTCAAAATGATAGCTTCTTATTAAGAACTCTAGCTTGTTTAATTTGTTAACTTTATTGAAAAGAGAAAAAAAAAACGCAAAACATAGTAGAGATTTATGTAAACTTAATATGATGCAACAGTTCAATAGTTGTTATATTAACTTTATCGTTATTATTTTGTAAATATGCTACATATTGTTATGTTACTTTTTGAATTGTATCGTATGAGTACTTTATGTATACTAACTATTTACTCTTGAAAGTATTATTATGAACTATATTTTACAAATAAAATCTATGCTTCCTCTATTTTACATTTAATTAAGCCTTTCAGCAAACAAAATCAACAAGCAAAAAAAAAAAAAAAAAAAAAAAAAAAAAAAAAAAAAAAAAAAAGATTGGGGTCAGTTTATAAATTTTAGAGCAAATGGATTTTAGGTGTCGAAAAAAAAAAAATAAAATAAAATAAAATAAACATCAATTTTATCCGCTTTTAAGCTAAATAGGTATAAGTGTCATCAGCTCCCCGTTCTATGTATTCCCTATGAAAAGTAGATAGGATTAATGAAATAATATATTTTATTCTATCCACGTTACTTACTTGTCAATTAACACTTCAATTCGTTTCTTGATTTCTTGTGCCTATAATAAAAGGAATTAAAAAATAAAATAAAATAAAATAAAATAAAATACATGTTTATAATCTTACAGTAATAGAAAAACGAACAACACGAGTGACTTCATTTAATAGAGCGCCGTGTGTTAAAGTCGTTTTTGCTTTCATAATTCTAACAATGACTGCATCAATTTGTTGTTCTCTTGCAAAAAGTATTGTTGTATCCAATCTAGAATTCTTTTCAATAACTTCACTTAAAGTGGATGTAATAACTGAAAACTGATCTTTATAAGTACTAAAATCATGATTGAATTCAAATTGATCTGTTGATTCGATCTCTTCATTTCCTTCAGGAACTTTTCTTAATAGTTTATATTCTTTACATGTTAAGGACATCAATATACGTTGAAGTTCAAGTTCATCTATAAAATTGATTTGTTTACTTTTGATAAATCTTTTCTAGTTCTAATTTTTTTTTTAAATTACCTAATTGAGTATATTTTAAAATATCCATAAATGAAAAGTATCGCTTTGTTTGATCATTAAATAATAACAAAACAATCGTTTGCAATAATGTCAAAGTAATTTTTTTCGTTCCCTAATATCACACTTGGTTAAAAAGAAAAAAAGTAATAGTAAGCATCATATAATTATTAAAATTACATTGGGATAATTTGCATTGATTTCACAGATGCCAAGTGCGTTTTGCCAAGTTAAAACACGCTTTTCAAATTTACTTGTATAAAATTGCGTGTATTCATTTTGAGCTTTAAGGAAAATAGTGGGCAAAGAAGCATTGATTAGAGTATAAGAAGGCCAGAATCCATAAGTAAGTAAATTAACATTCATATTTAACGATAAAGAATCAAAAGTAGCATTCTATCCAAATATCATAAATATTGTATTAAAATATGTGAATAATATTGATTATTATTACTTACACTCTGAAATTCTTTCATTAATTCAACAGATTTTTCAATATCTTTCACCATGCCTTCCAATTTGCCTGTATATCCAGGACTACATTCCTTCTTCATTCTCGCTAATACCAATTTTTCTGTATTTCGATTTGAGATTCCCAGAAGTAGTCGTTTAGCTAAATTACACTTGTAAAGTATCTCAAACTCATCTTTGCTTTGAAGGTTTCGAAACAAGAACATGCCCTTATCTAACAAAACTTCGTCAAAGGATGAATTCCTTAATAATTGATCCATATATTTAGCTAATAGTTTGATTGCATTATTTTCACGAAGATTTAGATAATATTCAGTACTGTCTTTTAGACTATCAGCAAATATCTCATCTCCCTCAAAACTGTGATCTACAAGTTCATCATTTTGGGATTCAAATGCGGATAATCTTTCGATTTTACTAAAGATATCAGATTTAGAACATAAAATAGATGAACCTTTTTTCTAACATAAATGTGTTAGTTGTATGAATAGAGACAATTTTTTTTTTTTTTTTGCACTATACTAACCTTGACATAATTTGCAAAGTATTTAGAACATATTTCGAGTTGGTTTACCTTCTGTAATAGTCTATACAGTAGTGAAAACTTATCATAATCGTGTTCTTGAAATGTGTCAATATTTTGAAAATATTTAAAGCCTATGTATGAATAGTGAATAATGAATAATAGTAATAGATATAATGAGGTCATTTACATTTCATAAGTATATCATTCACTCGCTTTGTTAATAATTCATTTTCTACAACTAGTTGTAACTGTGATTTCGTTGATTTATCAAGATAGCTTTTTATACGTATGATAGATTCTTGATGAACTCGAATAGATACATGTTCAAGATAATCAAATATATCAATTGAATTCAGTAAACGATTTCCTTCTTCTTCATAGAAATATTGGGTCTGTACAAGGAATTGTTGCTCGAAAGATGAATGATATAAACTTAAATCCATTAGCATACGTGTATTAAGTTGTAAGAATGCTTCATCTACACCACCACCACCACCACCTATTCTATCTTGTTTAATCATATCTAATATACTATTTAATACTTTTTGCCAGACAATTTGGTATTTTTGAAAATTCTCTTTAAATAAATTCATCGCCATATTCCAGAAAGATCCTTGCTTTGTATGTGACGCAATAAAAGTACGATCAAGATATAAAAAGATACATCGAAGTTGTGTCTATAATAATAATTAGCCCTTATAAACGTGTTATACATTTTAAAGATTCATCATTACTGTCTGTCTACAATAACTGTTCCACAATGAATGAACAATTTGTAAATATTCAATTCCATCTTTTGGATTACTATTCAACATGATTAGATCGCATCAAGGTCAGTATGAATAAATAAATAAACAAATATACCTTGCAAGTATTTCGAATTGAGACATAATGTAATTATAACATTCGTTATATAATAGGTTGAAGAGCTGTTTTGATCTATCATATTGACATAAATTTTCACACAACTATACACATTTACATTAAAATGTTGATAATAATAATACAAAAAAAAAGGTATTGATTTTCTATATACCTGATATAACACTTCAAGGCTTTCAAGATTGTTTAATTGATTATTCTGAATGGAATGAATTGCATTTTTCAATCGTAGCAAGGCTGATTCTTCATATGTGAAATCGAGCTCTGGTCTATCGACTGTATATAATTGTGTTATAATATAATACTTTTTGACTTTGATTATTAACCCTTTTTTTTTTGTCATTAAGTTTATACCTTTTAAATCATATACAATCAATTTTTTATCAGATAACACTGGATGTTTTCTGTTATGCTGATGTGAATTTGACAAATAGTTACTAAAAGGAAGTTGTGATGAAGCTGAACTTATTACAGACTGATCATATTCAAGTCTTGGTTTCTTAACAATATCACGATTAGTAGCCATTAAATACAATTATTAAAAAAAAAAAAAAAAAAAAAAAAAAAAAAAAAAAAATTAAATTACCAGTTTTAATATGCTTTTTTACTCGCAAATTGAAATACCTCAGATGATGAGCCTGAGACAAAAAATGTGGTACTCTTTATTTTCTCAAAAAAAAAAAAAAAAAAAAAAAAAAAAAAAAAACTGAAGACGACGTTTTATTGTTATGATATTTTATTTTCTGATTGGGTGATGGAACGAGTATATATAAATTAAACCTCTTTTACAGTGGTTGTAAGGGTGGAGTTTACGGTTGCATTTATGGATGTCCCCTTTGTTATTATTCAGTATGATGTCTTTGCCAACAAATCTAACCTTTGGAAAAGCCAGAATAATAAAGCGTATTATGAGAGATCCAAAAGTAATGGACTACATTACTGAGGTAGTAACTAAAACCAGAAACGACTATATCAAGGGTAATTGTAAATGGAGAGATGGGGCCCGTTCAGGTATAGCTCTTGATCTTGAACCCAAATCCTTTTCTTTAAAACTCCTTTCTCTATATATCATCCTGGAGATTTAGCATAAGACAACCAATAAATTCAAGAGAAGGGTCATCAACTATTGTCTACAGAACAATTCAAGATACGATGTAGAACAGATTATTCTGATCATATATGTAGAAATGCTTCATAATAAAACCAAAAAAAACAATCAGTACACAGTTGGAAGGGATAGTTTATAATGTTACCTTTTAGTGTCATGCTTTAGAAACGAAATGATTGATTCAAGAAATGGTTGGATTGGCTAAAAGACTAAGGGCTTTGGGCTCACCTTGTACCAAACATAACGGCTTTATCCTGATGGAGCATGGCTCACGCTTTGCTGGATTCCCTTAAACCAACCAACCATTATTCAAGCTGCTAAAACAATTAAATAGAATATGGTGTAAATTAGTTGATTTAACATGTTACAAACAGGTCAAAATAAATAATAAATAAATCAAAGGCTATTTTCAAAGCTGTATGTAGACCGAAAATTGCATACGTCATTAATAAATGTATTTTTACATAAATAAGCTTTTCCACTTTTTTTTTTACGAATCTCTTTCATTTATAGATTTCAATGGACATAAATGAAGGTAGGTTAAATTCTCCTGAACTAATCTATATAAAATCCTCAATCCGTGTTTTATCTTTAGCTTTAATATCTTTTTTCGACGGCAAAGGTCGGAAAACGCTGTATAATTTTATTACTACCAATACATCTTTAATTGAAAACTATATCCGCCAGTTTTCTAAAGCAGCTGATGCAAAAAAGAATTTAGTAAACAAATTCAAATCAGAATACAAGGAAAAAAAAACCCGGAAGCAAGAGATCCCCATCAATTACTTTTGACTTCGACACGCTGTGGTCGTCCACACAGGTTAGTAAGATCCTTACAAGTGAAAAAAATAAGGTATCTATTGCTCTGATCAAAGCCAGTAGTACAGAAATTACAAAAAAACTACAGGTAAATGATAAATAAATAAGGTGCTTTGATATACATATTGACAATAATACGTTTTATTGTCATTAAAATACAGGTACCGGTGGCAGAAGAAGAAGAGGAGGAAAAACAAAAGACAGAAGATAAAGACAACAATAATGAACAGACTTTAGAGGAAGAAGATGGTGATGAGAATGATGCCTATTCACATGAAGGAAGTGATGATGCCACTGACAACAGCTTAAAATATATTTTAAATAACAACGAAGATGAATTTAGAAGTGTTATATCATCAGATGAAGCGGTTCCTGCCTATTTGAAACAATTTGAATTATTTCAAATGAAGGCTTTTAAAAAGGCAAAAACAGTTGGTCTCTTTGTTAATGCAGATTTGTATAAAATTTTGTAAGTAAAAATTTTTATTTTTATATATTTATCTACTGATGCCTCTACTTTAGATCTTTATATCATATTATATTATTGAAGAAAGGTCGGCTTATCCTGACATAAATATAGATGACTTAAATAAGTAGATGTTGGAATTTTACAAGTGCGATACAAATATTGAAAAAAAAAAAACGTTTGATGCTATAGCGAAAGTATTCAGGGTAAATAAGCTTAAAGGTTAACATGGATTTATTATGATATCTCATGTATTCTTTTTTTTAGGGCATTGGTGATGTTCCTGATAGAGATAGATTAAAGATCAAATTATTTAAAATATACAAAAAAGCCGAAAAAGAAGACCGAAAAGTCATTGATATTTTAATCAATTTGTGCGTAGTATACACACAGTAAAAGGAAAATTTATAATTAGGATCCATAAACTAATCTGATTCTTTATGTTAGATTAAACAAATTACCGAATGAAGAAACTATAAACTATACTATTGAAGAAGAAGAGCTTATTAACAACTTCGTTGATCCTATACTCAGTCCTTTATTGCATAGACCAGAAAAAGAAAAACATTTTTTATGGTAAATGGCCTGACGCGAACTTATAATATTATCAATAATATTAATTCTACATCTAATCGATAGGCTAAACAAAATAGTGACAAAATCATACAATACCCGTCCTGATGCTGGTTGCGCGCTTATTCATGAGAGAAGAATCCAAAAGTTTTCCTGTTTTGCCGAGGTGAAGGCAGAATATAAGAAAAAAGATACCTTGTCTACTCACCAAGATCTATTACGATTAGCATTATTCGGTATAAATGAAATTGAAAATAATAATGCTAAATGCATCTTACTTGTACAGGTCATAGGTGAAGTAAATCCTAAATCAATATTATATTTTTCATATTTTGTTTATAAATGTATATTTGTTAGGCGCTGTCATAATATTCTATGGATGTACATCACACACAAATGGTCCCAAAATTATCTTCGAAATCTCAAAAATCAAAATCCCATTATCTATACAAGATTTACCAGGATTTATTATGAAACTTGATAAATTGAAAAAACTTAATCAATTTTACAATCGTTTCTGCGCGAAAATATGCAACGTAACCAACAACATGAAAAGGAAATCTACAATTGGAAATGTAGATCTTGATAAAATAATTAATATTCACAAACCAAAAAATTTAAGAGTATCTATTGATTTTTAAAATAAAGTTGTGATTAGTAGGCGAAAAAATTGAATGTACTGTGCTTCCACTCTCAATTTACTGACTTTTTGAAAACACTGCCTACTTTTTTGAGAAAAATTGCACACTTGTGCGAGGCTAATTTGCCCAACTTTTTGGATATAGATTGACCAGCTTTTACGAATTAGTTGACCAATTACTGGTCAAAAGTCAAAATGGTTATAAAGTTCTTTATTGAAATATTCAAGGAATATCTGCAGAATACTGGGAAAAAGTGACAAAGGTTCCATTACGGTGTCTTCGCTTCCAACAACTCTTGAAGTAAGAGTTTCCACACAAAAAATCGGAGAACAAAAGAATACAACTCCTTTATTCAGCACATAGTATGAGGCATTCAAAAAATCACAACCCAGCAATACTACCGCTTAAAAGGACTACCATAATGAAGTAGCATTCAGTCAGAATCACCTTACTGAAGCCAAAAGCAGTATATAAATACATCTTCATTACAATCTACAGCAAGAAGCTATGAATTCCCAAGCGCCATGTTGGAAGTAGGTGTTTGTATCTTCTTTGCCTATTAATCAAGAGTCTAATCAAAGAGATGTCTAAAATACAGTATAAGAAAGCAATCCTTAGAAAGAACACATTAACTTTTGGTGACATGTAACTAACCTTCAGTATGTTACAAAAATCCAGAGAACAAAAGAATACTATCGCTGCGTACGACGTATAAAAGTACTATACGTCGTACGCCATAATTTAAGCAGCGGTTTTTTTAATTGTTTATTTCTACTAATTTTTAATATAAAACTTCCAAATAAAGAATATATTATGTTTAATATACTATCATTGAATAAAAATATCCAAAAAAAAGACATTTCTATTGCTAATATTCATTATTTTTTTAATGTTTAAATTTACAGCTATTTTGGCTGTGTTTTTTTTACAGGGAGAGGAAAAAGAAAGGGGGGTAATCACACTATTTGCATTGTGAAATTACAGAAAAAAACACTTTTTTTTCTAAAAATGGATCTATATATAATCATATGATCATAGAGAAAGTTAAGAAAATTACTAGCTTTCCACATTCATTGTTATTTCTTTTTTATTCTTTTAGATTAATACTTATTTACTTACAATTATTTTATTTTCTATAGATATTTATTATATTCAAGGTAGTATAAAGATTTAAAATATCCTTATTAACGAATTTATACTGACCAGTTTTATTTCTTTCTTAGCAAAAGAGTCTTGTTTATGTTGGTAGTAGCTTTTTCTACTTTTTATACAGAGCATTTTTCAATGATATGTTAAAGGTAAGATTATAACTATTGTCTATATTAACACATATATTAACTTGTCTATTATCTTTAATTAAACGCTTTTTAAACAGATAAACAAATGTATATAAAAAGGTAAATTAAAACATAACATTTATCTAATCTATTGATTCCAAAAGTATACTTTCTTTGTCTAATATAAAATATACCAACTTTGCCTTTTATTCTCTTCTTTTAGGACTTTTTACTTTTTTTTTTTTTTTGTTTTCGGTAAGCATTTTATTCTTTTGAATAACAATACTCTTTTATTTTTTTATTTTTTACTAACTAATCAATTTTGTTTATTATAGATTGTTTATTTTGCTTCTGTTTAACTGCTATAATTTAACCTCTTAGACCCCTATCATCATTATCTCTGTCTTTTTCTCTTATTTATTTGTATCTATTTGCTGTGTAATAGTACTATTTCTTTTTAAAGATGCAAAGGTAAGTGAGTGCAATCCTATTTTCTATTATTAATTATTGTAAGAAATATTCTTTTTTTTATTATTATTATTATTTCAAAAGCAATTTATTTTTTGTAATAATTCATTTGCTATATATGCCATTATTATTATTATTACTATTCTAAATGTAAATAAAATCACATTTTATGTAAGCAAACTATATGTTTATTTATAAATAATGTCTAATAAACAAGGCAATAATAAAAGCCTAATATGTATTAAATATATTTTATAAGCCAGTAAGTAATAAAGATCAAACGTAAATAAACGTTATTTATTCTGCAAAATACCAATGATGGTTCATGTTTTTCAAAAAAAAAATAGCCAATCAAATGTAAAACGTTATGTGTTGTATGTATGGAGTACTATACGGCGTACGCACGTACGACGTACCGTACACCATATATGCAGTACGTGAGTACGACGTATACAGTGACTCACAAAACTGTCCCAATGTTTTGCACTTTTCTCTTTAACTGACTCGTTCTTCTTTTGTAATCATGCTAGAAAGATATCGAAGATATCATTCGATAGCCTAAGTAATTCTCTATCAAATCATTACCAAAAATAGTAATATAACATAAAACTCAGCGTAAAATATTAAATAAAAAATTGAATATGCATTGGGACAGTTTTGTGGCCGTACCTATAAAACTAAATCTGTCCTACAATTTGGCAGTAACTTTAGCCTAGCATATAGTAGCGATCGTACTATTTCTTTGTACCTTCCACAGTATAATTAAGGTAAGTTCTAGAATATTGTATAATTCTGGGGTCTAAATCTTGAGGCCATATTGTTAGTATACGCTCCATAAGTGAAAACCAAAGAAATGACATTATTGCCAAGCTCAACAGCGGACTTTCTGTGCATCAGGTGGCTGAGCAGATCGGAGTGAGTCGGAGTTTTGTGTGTCGCATTGGAAAAACATATTTATCTGGGCTCAGCTTGTCAAAAGGGGGACGACCAGGTAAGCTCACGGAGAGGGACAAGCACTACTGTGTTCATAAGATAAGTAGAGGAGGTTTAGAAAACGCTGTGCAAGTCGGAAATTCAATTAAATCGGAGTTAGGCAAGTCAGTCTCATTGGAGACAGTTCGTCGCGCTTTAAAATCACTCGGTTTGGGTTCTATAGAGAAGGAAGTGAAACCTGCACTTAGTCCCACAAATATTAAAGAACGACTTAGATGGGCAAAAAAGTATAAAGACTACACAGTCGATGATTGGAGAAGGATTATTTGGTCTGACGAGACTAGAATTAATCGTTTTAACTCCGATGGACGTGTCTGGGCGTGGATAAGGGACAATGAAAGTCTTCAAATGCGTCATATTAAGCAGAATTATAAACATGGAGGTGGTTCAATCATGATTCGGAGTTGTATTACCTGCGTCGGAGTTGGCTGAATGTGCAAAATAGACTCTACTATGGGCGGAGAGCTTTATAAGGAAATCCTTCAAGACGAATTAGAGAAATCTATCGAAATGGTGTGTAAGCAAACAGGATTAAGGAGAGACCAAATCGTCTTCCAGCATGATAACGATTCAAAACATAGGTCAATTCCAGTCAAAGAATACTTGAAAAGCCAGGAATACGAAGTTCTTGATTGGCCATCACAGTCTCCAGACCTTAATCCTATTGAACATATGTGGGCTCTAACAAAAAGAAAACTTAATGAGTATGAGACACCACCTAAGGGTATTCATGAGCTTTTTGAAAGAATCACGGATGTATGGTACAATAAGATTACCAAAGAAGATTGTTTAAGGGTTATAGACTCTATGCCCGACCGTTGCAAAGCTGTTATAAAGGCAAAAGGTCGTTGGACTGATTATTAGTTGTTCTATGTTTAAATTAAATAAAATTAACTTACGGCCACAAAACTGTCCCAATGCATATTCAATTTTTTATTTAATATTTTACGCTGAGTTCTAAATTATATTACTATTTTTGGTAATGATTTGATAGAGAATTACTTAGGCTATCGAATGATATCTTCCATATCTTTCTAGCATGATTACAAAAGAAGAACGAGTCAGTTAAAGAGAAAAGTGCAAAACATTGGGACAGTTTTGTGAGTCACTGTAAATAACCCTCGTCTTTTTTCTATATTATTTTCTTGTACAATTTTTGTATTATTTTTCTTCAATAAACTATACATAGTTTTCACAGACTTGTCTCTTCTTTTTCTCTTTCCTTATCTTTTGAACAAAACAATAATGTCATGTTTCGTGATTAAACATGCGGATCATAAATTTATTTAAAAATTCTATCCTGAATCTCTCTTGATCCGCTCCATCTAATAATATTAAAATCACTAAAGCTTTATTATCAACAACATACCTTATTCGGTCGTAACTAACACTTTTCTAGTTCACATCTTGTCCTCAGACCTCTTTAACAATTCTTATAAATACCCCATCAATTTAAATTCATAAATAAAAATAATTGACTTTAAAACTATTGTTCGGTCTCATTGACTCTTTTTGTCTTAATATTATTTTTTATTTTTTAATATTTTTATTTGACATTTTATAAGAAATATCACAAGCGGTAGTCAAAAGATGTAAATTTATTTGTCAATGGACGCCAACTCAAATTCAAAAGGTACCAGTTTAAATTTTAAAATCTGCGAATTTTAAGGGAAAATTCAGTACTTAGATTATCGAAGGTTATTCTAAATATCTTTCTACCATGATTACAAAAGAAGAACGCGTCAGTTAAAAAAAAAAGTGCAAAACATTGGGGTAGTACTGTAAGTCACTGTAAATGTGAGTAATATGTAAAATATACGAATTTGTAAACATTTTTATGAGCCACTGTACAGTGACTCACAAAACTGAGCGAATGTTTGATTAATTTTACAAAATGTTCAATTTATAAGACAAAACACTCTTGAAACTCTAGCATACAATCTATCAATAGAATGCTTGTTTTCTAAGGAATTTAATGATACCTTTGTTGATGACGTAGCTCAATTTTTCGGGGAGAAAAACGATTTTAAAATCCGACTATGCATTCGCACAGTTTTGTGACCATGTCTGATTTTGACTATTAGGCAATACCACAAGTTGGTATTCAGATTTAGAAAGCCTAAATTGATACCAATAACCTACCTAACTGCACACTCTGCTTACGTAATATTTCCACGTAAATAAATATCCTATATTACATAATACTAG